TATTTGTGTTACTTCTTTCTAAAAACTCAGAGCTAATATCATCAAGATCTGTTTGCGAGTTTCTTACAAATCTATTTTCTTGCTCATATTTATAGCTACTGTATTCTGCATAATCTTTTTGTATTGTTGACTCTGTTTTCCTGTCTTCATGTTCTTGATATACATATTTCGAGCATCTTTCATCTAGATCTTGCTCTGTTTTCTTTCTTTTTTCTAAACTTTTTTGGCTTACTTTTTGTAGTATAACTGGTAAAGCCTTGTTTGCTACAGAGTATTCCTCTTCTTCGGGACTATTACTTCTTATTGTTGCCTATTTTAGTTTGTCATCATAGTAGTAAACTAAGAACTTTGGGCTTTCCAACAGGTCAGTTTCACTTGTAAAATAGACTGTAGCACTTCTCTTATTATTATTGTTTGTATTCTTAAAGATATGTAATACCTTAGCTCCTGTTCGTTTAACTTGTTTCTATGATAATACCTTATTTGCATCTTCTGGTAAATTTAGAATCTTTCTAGAAAATTTGTTATAAAATTTAAGTACCTCTGTATTGTTTCTTCCTGATGTGACTCTCACCAAATAGTTGCTCAAGAGCAGAATACACTATACATCTATAAGGTCCTCTACGAAAATAGTATTTGGTACAAACTCAATTTTTGCACATGTTTTTTCATTTGTTTTTCTAATTATCTCAATATAACTAATTCATTTGAGATATTGTATAGATTTGAAAATATGAATTCTTTTCACCTATTTTAGAAGGTCCTATACTGTGATAATATTTTTTTTGATTGTGTCTTTCTTTCTTTGTCTACTACTTTCCCAAGCCCTGTTCTTAGCTTTTTTCTTTAGTACATGACTTGTTAACTTTCTGAGTAGAAGCCTTATTCTCTGTATTTGATAATTTTGCTTTTAGCATCTTTCTGAAGAGGTCTTCTGGGTCTTTAGTAGTTTCATAGTTGTCGAAGATTACATTATACCATTTAATCTCCTTTTTTTTGAGTTTCTCTTTCAAAATATTTAGACCTTTGAGGCAATCAAAGATAATGACTACCCAACTGTTTCCATTTTCAAAGCATTTAACAATTTTATTTATATGACTACTTTTATATAATGTTCCTTTTATGAATTTGATTTATTCTTCTTTTGATTTCCCAAGAAGTAAGATAGAGAAAATCTTTGCTCTATATTTTCCTGTTTTTTCATAGGTATTTTTGTTGGGTGCTCACTAACTATCTTCAAGAGAGGTTCCTTGCAGTTCTTTATAGTTTGTAACTACATAATCTAGTTGCTTTTTTCAATACTCCTTTAGATCATTAATTTCTTTTTATAAGGTTTTAAGTAGAGTATCTTCTGTATTCTCAAGAATTATATCTTTTGTATGCAAGGCTAAGTCTATGAGCTCGAGTTCTGTAGACTTTGTATTGTCAGAATTGACCTTGATATTTAAGCAAACATACTCACTACTATACTAGTTTTTTAAAAGTTAGATATTTTATAATTCTCTTTTAACTCTCTATCTGTAAATAGGATATCAATTGCTGTCTTACTACTCACTGCAATTTTCCTATTCAGATACTCAATTTCTTTAGAAATTATTGATTTTGTATTGTTCTCTACCTACTCTACTTTAGGCAAATTATCATGAAGTATATTAGACATAGCTAACTTAATAGTTATTTTTTGATCTACTAACTTAGTTAAATCTTGTAAAACTTCTTTAAACTGTGAATTAGCTTCTAATATTATATTCTTGTTTTCTTTAGTCTTTGTTTCGCTTTTTTTAGTCTCTTTAGTGATTAGTAATTTCTGTTCGAGCTCTACAAGAGCTGTGATTAGTACTTTTCTACTTTCTTCAATAATTATCTTCTTAATTATTCTGTGCCAATTCCTAGTTACTGTGATCACTTTGGTGCTTATTCCTGTAATCCTAAAAATAAGATCATCTATTTGCTTCCTACTTCTTTCTATACTCTCGATTACACTAGTAAGCTTCTGTAGTTCCTCTTCTTTAAGTATCACTTTAATGCTTGCTACCTTTTTTCTACTTAGTGAAAAGCTTTCTTTTGACTGTCTTGAAAAATTTTGATCTTCTGACATTATAGATATTCTTGTTCTTTACTTTGCAAAGTGACTTCAGCTTTTTTGCTAAAAACCCTAAGATATTTCCTGATTGCTTGCATTTCATCTAGTTTAGATGCTATATACTTCTCTTCTATTAGCTTGCACATGATATATCAAATTAGTGATTTCCCCATATGTAGTTTGTTTACCTTGTTTTGTAACTCTTGTGTTATATTAGAAGATCTGCAAGACAGGGTGAATTCAAATCCCCACTTTTTCTAAAAAATTTCTATGAATTTTCTTTGAGAATTGAGTTTTCTTCTAGATTCTTTTTAGGTTTCCTATCTTTTACTTTTTGCTAAGTATAACTTTGTATGCTCTTTCTTTTTGCTTATTGCCTCTTGTATTGTTTCTTAATGAAGTTTCTTCAAAAAATACATTTTTGCTTTAGCTTTAGAAATGGTCAAAATGATCTATGGAAAGAGTTGTTTATTTACTTTTGGAATAGATGAGTTAGCTAAAGATTAATTAACTATTCTAATTATTATATAATTATAATTTTTATTTTTTTTTTTATTATTAAGGTAGCTTCTTTTGCTAATTAGATTTTATTAATTTGTTATTACAGAGCTACTATGTGAGTAGTCTCCTAAGGTTTTATAGTTACATGATGAGTATACAACAAGCTACATGTACAACTTTAGTTATTATCTAATTTAAGTAGTCTACTATATAGATAATTAACTATCTGTTGTTTCTACACATGCTACTATACCTGCAACCTGTCTGTAAGTTATTTATTTAAATACTCTAATCATTAACCTTTCTCCTCATCCCAAACTAATGTCACCACTATGGCCGACTGCTTAAGCTAGCTGGCTCATCTGTGGATCTATTTACTGCATAGCTTAGGTCCTCACAAGATGCATATGCTCAACATATTGTGAGCTGCAAAGCTCCAGTTAACCTCGAAAGCATACCTACTAGAGTAGTCTGTGCCTATTTCACGAATTCATCTAGCTAAGACCCTTGTAAATATTTATGTGACCCTAGTTCCTACTGTAGCTTTTTACTAGTATCATTTACAGATCTTGCTGAGGCCTATCATGAGTTAGATCCTCTCAATCTAGTTAGCTACCAAGCCAAGTTAGTGTTACTGTAACATACAGTGATCACTTCTGCAATACAGACTTATACACATCTAATCCGATTAAAGTCTTTGAGCACTGTGTCCTTCTGAATTAAGCATAATCTGATATGACTATCAAAAGCTATACTACTTTACCCACTCAGGGTTTCTACTATACAGGTCTCCTACTCGTAGATCCTATCAAGATTTATTCATATAACATTCATCTCTCTAAACATCATGTCACACTTCTAATATTCAGATAATATTAGTACAACAAAATTTACAGGGTTACAACTCCAGAAATGAACAGGGTTTACCATAAATTGAGTACAAAAGTCTGGATAATTATTCAAATTTGTTAACAGTGGGATTTGAACTCTAAACCTCTTGCATAGTGGTCTGGCAACCTAACTACTACACTAAGATCGTCAGACCTTATATAATTATAATTTGATTTATATTAAAAAATTAAAATAATTAAATTTTTGTAAGTAAATTTTATTTATGCTTGTTATTATATATATTTTGTATTTTATTTTTTATTTATTATGAGAAAGTTCTTTAATATATTTTTAAAATATTATATAAGTTTTGAACTAAATTTATAGTCTATTATTTTTTTATACTAATTATATAATAGATAAAAACTATTATATATTTGAATTTATATATAAAACTAATAATTAAATCTATTATTCTAAGATCTAGTAATCTTAGTATAGTAGTTAGATTATCAGACTGCTATGTAAGAGATTTGGAGTTCAAATCCTACTGTTGATGAGTTTGAATAATTACTTAAATCTTTGTATTAAATATACAGTAAACTCTATCTGTTTTTGAAGTAGTAACCCTGTAAATTATATTGTACTAATATTAATTAAACTTTGAAAGTATAATACAATATTCAAATTATATTATATGAATAAATTTTAATAGGCTCTATAAGCAAGGAACCTGTATAGTAGAAATCCCAAATTAGGTGAAATAGTATAGATTTCAACAGTCAAATCAGTTAACACTTGATCTAATAAATAACCTGAGTATAGAAGATATAAGATCAATAGATATGAGTAAGTTCACTATATAATACAACCTGATATCTTGTATTAGTGACAATACCAACTTGGCTTAGCAGCTAACTAGATTAGTAGGATCTACCTTATGAAATATCTGAAATCTTGGAGGACTATATTTGGTGGAGAGCTATAGTAGGAACTGGGTTTGTACAAATATCTATAATAGTATATGCTAGCTTAATTAAGATATAGCATAGCATAGTTGGAGTATTCTGCAAGCCTTTTCTGATGAAGACAAAAGAGTACCTTAAGATAGAGCTCTTCTAATAAGAGAAACTAAGGTGCAAAGTTAGTCTGAATGGTCCTTTATGAGACAGCACAAGATTGTACAGATTTAAGAACTAATTCGTTAAATATTAGAGATGATGAGAATGCCAGCATGACAGAAGTTCTATTTATGCATTAACGTTACACAAGATTTTACATATCAAAATCATAAGAGATGGAGATACATCATATGACGATTTATCAAAAAAAAGTCCAATTTTTACAAAACTTCGCTAGGCGGTTCTACAGTTGCAATGTAAGTAACTTATTAAAAAACATCTCACACATCTCACGATCTGGGTGACTTTTATTAGACATAAATTTTCTTAGTAATGAGTAATATACTTACCGTAATTGTCATTTATAGTATATGTTTAATTTTTTTTTTTTTTTTTACAACTTTCTAGAATAAATTCGAAAGATTTAAGGTGAGCTTAAATGGATTTATTAGTTCTTTCTATATTTACCAATATTCTATTCTATTAATTTCTTCTAACAGCTTATTTGAAATTTCTAATATTTCTACCTCCTCAGACTTTTCTTCCGCAATTTCTACCTCTTCTTCGTCGTCCTCAAGATCTTCTTTGGTAAGTATATTGGCTCCTTTTTCAATTCGGTTTAAAAACTTTTGAACATTTTTAAAAATTCCTTTTTTATAAAATTGCTCACAATGAATGCATCTTCCTTTATAACAATTAATATGGTAGCCATGGCCACAAACAAACACCATGCTATTATTATTAACAAGCGGATGTCCGCAGTGATTACACGATTCTTGGTGGGGGGGATGTGCTGTGCTGTAACCAGTTGGCAGGTGCCGCAAGTCTACGTCTTCTTTTAAGGTAGCGAGATAGTATGTTGCCGGTAGTTTTTTTCTTTTCTCATACTTCGGAAAACTTTTTTCACAGTTGTAAAAAATGTCTTGAAAATGTTGGAGGAGAAAAAGAGCCGTTTTATCATATAAAAAATTTAATGTTGATATAGTGTAAGGGTACCATTGTGTTTTACAATAAGTATTTTTAAATGCGGGATCGTGATTCATAATAAAGTATGCTTGCTTTATAATGCTATCTACTGTTGCATTTTTGGACGTGTTTGCTCTAATTTTGCTGTGAACATTTTCCACATAATACTCATTGAAACCTGTCAAGTGTTCCTGTAATACATTAAAAAAAGGATGATTAGTATCTTTCCAATAAAAGGTATCTGATAGGAATACAAGAGGCGCTTTGTTATAATTCTTTCGCTTCCAACGCAAAGCGAAGGTCCAAATACGAAAAATCGCCTCTACATATTCATTAAATTGACCCGATCGAAACAAAATTGCATAGACGTCAAGTGTCGTTGGAACTAAATTGTCAAGTAGGTTTATTATAGTTCGATACTCGACGTCTTTGCATATTTGACCAAATTTTTCAATAATTTTGTTTTTGATTCTAATCCAACCATTTCGTGCGAGTTCTAATAAAAGGTTAATCCTCCAGGGGCGAGGTTTCTTTGCAAGTTTTTTATTCTCTCCAAATACATAGTGAAACAATTTTTCAAAAAAGGAATGATATCTTATTATAACTTGTTCTCTACTGTTTAATGATACATGAAGGGGGCCTAAAATAGGCAAAAAGGATTCTATTTGTTGAGGAAACAAAGATTGCAAATCAGGTAATGTTCTCATGTATAAGGCTTTTCTAATAAAAAGCTGGCCGGGCCAGTCTGCAACAATTGGAGCAACTCGGTCATTCAAATGTTGTGTTTTGTTATTTATTGACAATATAAGATTTAATGCATTAATGTAATCTTCTAATGAATGCAATTGTTGTTCTTTAAATCCTAAGAGCTGAAGCCCTTTTAATGATCGTTCTTCCTTACGCTCTTCTATATTATCAGCGTAATTGTGAATTGTTAACATTTCGATAGGGTCAAAATTATTATTAAAATAACGACCTTGTGAGATTCCATAATCCAAATATGAAATATCAAATATTCCTGTATAGCGGTTAAGTAAGTGCCAACAAATCCTCGGTGCTTCTACATTTGCTGGGTTGTGAATTGATACTCCATTAAATACAATAGACACTGTATAATCTATAATCGGTTTTGCTATGCAAGTAGCAAAATGGTTAGCCATTGAAGTTGATACTGTGTCAGGTCTACGGTTCTCATGAATGGAATGATAATCATCAATATTATAGACGTGGAACCAATTATTCTACATTATTAATAATAAAAAAAAATTATATTTTAATAAAAACATATATAAATTTATTATAATACTGTATAGATATCGATATACAGTTTAAAAAATTACATGTTCTAAAAAATAATTTTCAATTTTTGTTGAATGCTCTTTTTGAATTTTTTTTTGATACGTTTCTACTGTTTTAGCGCATGCCGAGTATCCAAGACTTGACATTGTGTCAATAGCCTCCCACGTTGCACCTGATGCCCTTAAATAAAATCCGACTTCTAATTTATGTTGATTTACAAATTTATTACGCAAACCTGCAATCAGGTAACATAATTCAACTACTGATTTCTTAGCTTCGTTTATATTATAAGCTGAGCGTTCCTTAGGAATAATCACGTCTGTTATGTAGCTAAAAAAACCTTTAAGCCCAGGATTAATAGATTCAATCATTCGTTCAAAATTTACTAGATCCAATTCTAAACTACTACATTCCCGACGTTGTTGGTTGTATAATGCTTTTGTTAGCATTTCTATACTTGAAGCGAATGTATTCTATTTTAAATTATTAATAAAAATAAATAAATGAATAAATCAAAAAAAAAATAAAAATAAAAAAATAAATACATTAATTATATTATTTGATGTGAGGTCTATTGGTTCTAATACACTTTCTTGTTGAATATGTTGTTTTTTAGATTTAGATTCGTATGGCTCTACAAGTTTACAATAATGTGGATGGCAGAGTTGTTTCCCAACTTCAAGGTAAGGATGCATCTTTAGTGTTTGTTTCAAATAGCACTTTTCATATGCAAGTTCCGTAATTGTACGAAATTTGACATTGGTATTCGTACAGCCAATAACTGAACAGGGACCAAAATTCTTGGTTGGCATTTTTATATAGATTTATTTTAATTTTACTTTTAATTATGTGACATTCAATCTTTTTATATAGTCTTTTTTTTCGATAAATCGATTAGTCATTCGCAAATAATGAATATAATATCAAATATACGATCTAAAAGATAGTAAACTTACTATAAAATTTGACCTGAAGAAACTTGATCAGATAAAACTTAACAACAAAAACTTTAACCTCGGTAGCACTTGACCACGGCAAAGCTTGATCCGGCGAAACTTGGCGAAACTTAATCTGGTGAAATTTGATCCAGCAAAACTTGATCTAGCAAAGCTTAACCGGCAAAACTTAGCTGTGGCGAAACTTTATTACAATAAAACTTGACTATGATGAAACTTGACCCAGCGAAGCTTAACCCCAGCGAAACCTGACTACAGCGAAACTTGTCTACAGCGAAACTTGACTTCAGCGTTACTTGATCTTACTAAAATCCAACCACAACAACTTCTATCACAACTAAAGACCACAGAAACTCTTTTATTCATGAACTAGCAAAATTTTAATTAATTTAAAGATTCTACGTAGTCATTTCTAATTTTATATAGAATTTTTACTGGCCAATCATAATCTAATAATTAGAATCTACAGATTGAGGGTTTACAGCCAATAAAATAGAATTTCTGTCATGCTGAGAATGCCAAAGAGTTTAAAATAGTGTTCTAAGAGGATACTAGGTATGGCAATTGGTAGGTAACCTCTAGGCAGAACCTTTAAATAGACAATGATTAAAAGTTATATATATAACTAATTGTACTTTCACTAACTAATATAAACTTACAAATAACTTAATAAAAATTATTAAAAAAAAAAAAAAAAAAAATCTATTATTCTTATATATTACTAAACAGAAATTTTTTTTTTTTGTTATTAAGGCCACTTTCTTGGCTGATTAGATTTTATTAGTTTTTTATTATAGAACTATCATATGAATAGTTTCCTAAGATTTTATAGTTATATGATGAGTGTATAATAAGCCATATGTTCAACTTTAATCATTGTCTAATTTAAGTAGTCTGCTATACAGATGATCAACTATATGTTAGTTCTACACTATACTGCTATACCTGCAACCTGTCTGTAAGTTACCTATTTAAATACTCTAATTATTAACTCTTCCCTCTATCCTAAACTAACATCACTACTATAGCTGACCACTTAAGCTAGTTAGCTTATCTATAGATCTATTTACTACACAGCTTAGATCCTCTTAGAATTTATATGCCTAACATATTATAAGCTGCAGAGCTCTAGTTAACCTCAGAAATAAATCTACTAAAGTAGTCTGTATCTATTTTACAGATTCACCTAGTTTAGACTCTTGTAGATGTTCATATACTCCTAGTTTCTACCATAGCTTTCCACTAGTTTTCTGTGTCTATTTTCTTAAATGTTTTACAAGGCAAATTCTCTCAATCTAGTTAGCTGCCAAGCCAAGTTAGTGTTACTGATCCTTCTCGTAGAACAGATTTATATATACTTGACTTGATTTATAATAGTTTCTTTTCTGGATCAAGCGTTAGCTGCTATAACTGTTAAAAGCTATACTACTTTACCAACTCAGGATTTCTACTATATAGGTTCCTTGCCTGTAGATTCTATTAAGATTTATTCATATAATATTACACTCTCTGAATATTATATCATACTTCTAATATCCAGATAATATTAGTACAACATGATTTACAGGGTTACAACTCTAGAAATTACAGGGTTTACTATAAGTTAGATACAAAGATTTAGGTAATTATTCAAATTCATTAATAGTAAGATTTGAACCCAAGACCTCTTGTATAGTAGTCTAGCAACTTAACCACTATACTAAGATTACTAGACCTACTAAACAGAAATATTTTTTATAAATAAATATATATTATAATAAGCAAAATTTTAGTACTTAATATATATACTAATTTAGTTTAACTCTAAAATCATAAAGAATAATATTGCTTAATATCATTATATTTAATTATAGATTAAAAGTAAGTTAAAAAAGTTATTTTTCTAAAAATTTATTTTTGAATTTACTCTTACTTATTATTTAACTAATCATTTAATTATAAACTAATTATTCACTACCTAAAAATACTTAAACATTTTAAAAAATAGTAATATTACTTTTTTTTTGTTTGTTATTTTTATATTTTAAAAATTAAATCAGAAATTAGTAATCTTAGTATAGTAGTTAGATTGCCAAACTGCTATATAAAAGGTTTAAAGTTTAAATTCTACTATTAACAGAATTTTTTTTTTTTTTTTTTTTTTTTTTTTTACAAATAACCTCTTTAGTTATATATTTTTATTAAATTTATTATAATTAATTACAAGTAATGATTACAATATATTTAACTAGATATATAATCTTAAGACTAATTTATCCTTAAAATGTACTTAACTAAGACTTGTATAACCCATGTTTATATAATTCTAGATTTATATTACACTACAATTTATTTATTTAAAGTTCTTACTATATTCTCTATATTATTCATACTGTTACGTTGGTTTGACTTTTTTAACAAGACCAACTAACTAGAGAGACTAATAACAGTAAATACTTCATATAATGTCCTTGTTACTGTATTTTGTCAAAGTCTTTAGAGTGTTTTTATAAAACTTAACAAAGAAGATTTAAGGTAATTTGCAATTATGAAAGAGGCAACAATTAAAGATATATGAAGATATCAATAAATGTTTATTTCAAAGTATCAGAAAGTTACTTTTATTGTGAAAGAGTATGAAGACTCGATAATGAAATCAAGGTCTACATGTGCTGCTTTAATACTTTACAAAATATTAGAAATATAATAGGCTACATATATTACATGAGCTATATATGCTATAACTATCACTAATAAAAAATATAATATAACTAATACATATATGAAATATATAATAAATATGATATACCAGGAATAGAGTGATGCAATCACGAAGTGTATAGTTACAATAGCATTTTTAATAGTATACATCTGCAAAATTTTATGTTTAATTAGTCCGCATAACTTATTTGTCAAATTTTGTTTACTTATCATGCATGATTTCATCACACTATTAATTTTTACATAAATTTAACATGCCTTAAATCTATGTAGTATGATGTAGATTGATAAAACATAGGCATATTCGTGCCAAGTGTATGATTACAGAATAGTAAGAAACCAAGAATACAAATATGTGCAATATCACAGTTGCAATAACTAACGTTAGTAAAAGTGTTAATTTTTGATACAAAAATTGGTAATCTGATGCAAATTAGTTTGTCTGTTTACCTAATATTTGGCATTTTTTGTTTTTTTTTGTAAGATTTTTTATTGAGTAGATTAAATGATAATCACTGATCATCAGAGACAATAGTGAAATAATTTTTTGGATAAACGATTAATCTAATAATTTATTCTGTTGTTTTGTAAACTTTTGCTGATTGATTAATGCGAGTTAATAAAAATTTGTATTTTGTCTAGCATAAAACTGAATACTATTTTTATATTAAAATTTCAAAATATTGTACATACGAAAAATCTCATGATTTAAGTTTTCAGTTCAGCTCATTAATTCATATATCACTTCATCATTTGTAAACTCTGTTTACTATAGCATTTTTTGTTGTAACTAATTATACAATGTGTTAAATGCTGAATTTCATTTAAACTTCATGATATTTCATTTTTGGGAAATCTACATAAATTAACCCATCAAATTACGAAATTTTTATGAACTGAAAATAAGATAACTAAGTGTCTAAACCTGTCTTGAGGCACTAACAAAAAATGTAGAGAGGGTAATTTTACCAATAAAACTTCTCTCTAACCCTAATCTGACCCAAACCTAAATTTTAACTGCTCACTTTATCCTTTTCTAATTAAAGAAATTTTAAATCTGATTCAGTGATACTAATCTATTTATAGTATGCTATTTGTTTAATCATAACAAACATTCTAACTTGTATTTTTTATTGTTTTAACAGGTTTTTATCTCAGTTAAAATGAATAATAAGTTTATTTTATTATTATCCTTCGAAATTGAACTAACCAATTATGGATTTACTGTCAAATATCTTCAGAGCTGATAATGGCTTATACTGAAGCTAGTTTTAGCTGTAACTAAGTAGTGATAGGCTTTTTAAAGTTATAGCTCCCTGGTTATTGAAGCTATGACTTGTGTTATGGCTAGAGCATAGCTTTAGCCATAGTTCAGACTGTAACTATAATATTTTACTAATACAGTATTGCAATAGTAATGTACTAAATATTATTACATAGCTATATTAATAATGATTTTAAATAATATAGAAGCTATCCAATCATTAACATATATAAAAATCATTAATAGGCAGAATTTGGTCTTCAAAACTCTTTGTTATATAATGACTGATTTCATCTGATTTTTTTTTTTTAATAATCAATTGAACATTATTAATTAATATCCATATATTAATTAATTTATGATTTAAAATTCTTTAAGCACAAAATTAATAAGTCGAAGCTCAATTTCAAATTTGTAAAAAGTAGTTTAACTGATAGGCAATATTTCAATATATAAGTAAGACCTGTATGAGTATGAATTTAAAAGTATATAAATGTATCTATATAATATAATGCGCTAATAGATTTAGATGATCATCGATCGAGATAAAAACTTGTAAAATCGCTAATTTAGATTAGTATACTCCAGAATACATATACCGAAGACAATATCATAAATACAAATTCGTTAAGTTTCTTTTTCTTTATTTAGTTGCCAATACAGCTGTCCTCTTTAATAGTTCTCTTTAATGCTACTATAACAGGAAACACTTTGAACATTATATAAGTAATATTAAAAATTTTTAGTTTAGTTAGCTTGTCTTTAGTATATGTATTTTGAAGCTATGCTATCCTAAATTGATGATTTTACAGGTCTTTATCTTGTTTAGTGATCATCTAAATTTTATTAGTACTTTATATTATTATTATTATTTCTTAAATTCACACTAACTATATATATGTTTTAATCAACAAATTTGTAAGATAATTATTTTTATTATTCCTATTAGTATATAATAAATACTTGGTAATAAGGCTAATATGTGCTATGCTCAATTTAGATAATCAATAAACTAATTATGTCTAGAATAATAATTGATACTATAATATAGAAATTGAGATTGTTATGTTCAAGTACTAATTCAATATGAGTTTATAAAGCTTACATGACCATTGTTTTATTATAGAAACATGCTAATTCAGGTTTTTTATACATATAATTATAATTACTTTCCTTTTAAAAGATAATTCCATACTTTGCTAAATTCTTGTATTTTTGCGTAAGAGACAAAATATCTAATATTTAGTGTAAATTATCAATAATATATACTAAATATTAGATATTTGTCTCTTATGCAAAAATGCAAGAATTTAGCAAAGTATATATATGCTATATTTAAACCTTGAATTAAATAATAATAAATTTTGTTTAATACTTAAAACAATTATTTATAGATCAAGAAATTTTAACATGTGTTATCGATTAATGCAAAATTAAGATTTTGGCAATTATATAAATATCTGTTAAACTAATTTGTTTATAGATCTTAGATTTATTTGTAATGTATATAGATCTGTACACTTGATTTTGATTCGCTCTTTTCAACAATTTGTGAGCAGTGTTTAATGTTAATTCTGTATACCATAATAGGTAAGTTCATTAAAGTTATCTCAACTTAATTAATAAATCACCAAAAAATGTTATTAATCAATATTAAATTATGCAGTAAGTAACCAAATTAAGTATAGTAAATAAATCCTGTTTAATTCAAATACTTTTCTTTTATGTTAAAATACCTGTGTACATCCTTTTTTCATAGATAAGATTAATGTTAATATTACATATGTGTGATTTTAGCTGATATATAAATACTATTTAGTTTAATATCTTTATTTTTACTTAAAATTATTATGCACGAATTGAATTCTTTTTCATAAATAAGTTTTGTGCATACGTGTTATTGTATGATTTTAGCTGCATAAGAATAAAACAATAATGTAAATAACAATTAAACTAACCCATATAGTATTAACATAAGCTTGAATGATAAAGCCCGTAATGAATGAATAATTGCTTTAATAATTATTATTAATATTGATTCTTATATAATTCTTTAAAAATAATATAATATTATATTCACTTAAAATTATATAATAAAGATTGATAATCTTATTACTTGTAACATATAAAAAAAATTTAATGATTTTTCTATATAAAAATAAAAAAATATTCACGATCATGTAATTATTACAATTGTAAAATTTCTGATAGCAGAAAAATAGTTTCTTATATTTTACTTATTGTGGTCATAATCTCTATAAAAAACAACCGCTCATGCTCAGATGGAGTTGCCAAATACAAACTTACTAAGGATTTATCTCAAGCTATCAGATTTAAATATTTCTTTTCTGCGTACCAACTACTTCAGACATTTATGAATGGAGATATTGTATTTATCTCTGGTAAATATGTTGTCGAAAATTCTGAGCCATATTTCACTATTGCATACTCAAGTATTATTGACAGTAGTAATCCTAATTGTGAATTTGATATAAGTGATGTACCTATAAGTATCTCTCATTGCATTTACTTTGTGACTGTTAACTATGAGCCAAAAAAAGTTGAAAATTTTATTCACTTTGGAGCAGAAACTATCTAATATAATTCCATCACTAGTAAACCTGAAGTTAAAATGAATATAACGATTATTTATCCTTATGAATCACCTAGGTTTAAATACTTAGACTATTTGGGCTCTAATATTAAATTACAATCTAACTATTTTGTATCCGGACTTCTTAAATTTTCAAAATCTGATAAAATTATGATTGAGGCTACTGACATTGATTCTCTTAAAACCTCTACTATTAATATTACTAGAACTGAAAGTTCTCAATCAGCAACAGAAGGTGCACCTTCAATAATTGATATTATCGATAATAATCTTGATTCTATTACCATACAACAACATAATTTATTTAAATCTTCGACCAATGCTAATGGTAATGTTGACCAATCTTATGATACAATAAAATCTGATATTATTAATACTAATAATAAAGTAAACTGATCCTGTAATACAAAAAAATCAGATATCATTAATGCTAATAATGAAGATAACTGATTCTATGATACAAAAAATTATCATACTATTATTGAAGATTATCTGAGTGATGAAGTACAATCTAATAATGGAGACTTTTATGAAAAACCTAATAATTCAGCTGATGTTAAAAACTCACAAGTAATTAAAGAGCAAGAAGAAGAACTTCAACCTAAAAAAAGAAAGAGAAATATAAGAGAAAGAAAAAAAATTATAAAATATAATTAATCAACTATGTTTAGCTAAATTTGATAATATTAAATAGTTTACTTATTATGTGATGAACTAGGTCTTATTAATACATATAGACTCTATATATCTGTGTGGTCAATTTGAGTTTTATTTTTTTTGTTATTCCTATTTTTATTATCCATAATTTTTATTTCTAAAAATAAAAATAGGCTTGTCATTTTTTCTTATATGGAATGCAATTAAAAATTTAATTATTGATTTATTTATCTAAAAATTATAAAATGATATAATAGTAAAAGTAATTCAATAAATAAAATTTACTGTTTTATTTGATTTCTTTAATGCATAAAATAAAAATATATATACGACTAAAGCTCTTATTCAATATATACTCAATTGAATTCTAAAAATTAAAAAGTTTTAAATAAAAGATGTTTTACATTTTCATATAACTGTTCTCTTTTTTTTGATAACCAGATCTTTTATATATTATGAATTATGTTACTATTACAATATATAAAAATTTATAATATTATATCCAAAAATTATGATCTAATAATATGACTCAAAATTATATCTCAGAAAAATTGTAACTAACTACAATAGTATAATTAGTACTATAAATATAAAAAATTAAAGTCAAATCTATTATATTTGACAATGTAGCAAAGAATGAATTAGGAAAAACAATTAAAGCTGATAAAATATATAAACCAAAGTATTAGAATAATTTAATTAGTTAAGATAAATTGATAAAAAAAAACAAAAAATTCATTCGAAAAAAAGATAACTCCCTTTAAAGTTCAAACTCGAAGTCATAATAATAAAGGTTTCGATAAGACAAGCATCTACTTAATAATGTTTTTTTAATAAATTTCTTCAACAATGATTTACTCAACATATAATTAGCCTGATTTAGTTTTAGGCTTAACCTAATTTAAAATCAGTGTTCGTTAGAATTTTAAGTCAGAGGAGAAATTTCTTGTCTAAGAAAATTTTATTGAAAATATTGTAACAATTAATTTTCCATGTTTCCTCACTTCTGTATTTGTATAATTCTTTAAGTCGTTACTCACCTTCTATAATTGTACCATCATAGCCATGTTAATCTTACCTTAGTAATATTAGGCATTATAATATATTGTTAGAGGCTTAACTCATGCAATCATGAATGCATGGAAGCTACTGCGAGTATGCTATAGTTATTATAATCATGTCTAAAAAATCATCATGTATATAAGTACTCGCTCTCATTCTTGATTAAGAGAAGAGACACTCTCTGAATTCCACTCTAAAATAAAGATAATATATATTTACATTCTTTTTATAATGTCTAATAAATTATGAATATCTGAATACCATAATTTATTATCTAATTCATATAACTCTTCTAATGTCAACTATCGGAGTTAACCTCGGAATAAAAGTACTAAGCTCTCCCTTATAATAGTTACAATATATAATCTCGAATGTATAACTTATTGTAGTGTTTCACACTAAATAATTAACTATTATAGTGCAGCATACCAATTTCAAATATCTGAGCAATCAAATTCAGATACCTGAGCAATCAGATTCAGACGTAGTAGCAATCAGATTCAGATATCTTAGCAATCAGTTTCGGATGTAGTAGCAATCAAATTCAGATATCTTAGCAATCAAATTCGGATAGTGATATCTTGTGACCTAGTAATCCAAATCGCATAATTTTGGTGTTATTCAACTCATCTTGTTAAGTTGAGTCAAATAGTACTAACATAGTATGATTTGGATCACTAGATCATTAGATATCCCTGTTCAAATTTGATTGCTAAGATATCCAAATCTGATTGCTACTATGTCTAAATCTGATTGCTAAGATATTCGAATCTAATTGCTACTATGTCCAAATCTGATTACTACTATGTCCGAATCTGATCATATTCACCGATTTGATTTTTAGAGTCATTTTTTCAATAAACGGTTACATGAACTATTGTCAATAAAGTTACAAAAAAACAACAAACGAAATACTCAATAAAAGAGCTTCTTTAGTCCCATATGAGATAAATAAGAAATAAATACTAGTAAAACTGTTATACTAAGCTGTAAAAGAAAGTACTATCGTTATTTTTTGAAACTTTTGGGTATTTTCGAGTAGTGAACGATCAGTTCATCATTAAACGATCAGTTGTATAAAGGGTAAGGGTAAATTTGGAAGCAAATTTTCAGAAAAATAGCCTTTTTAACTCACTTTCAACCTATTATTAAATATGAAGATATTACAATTCTCTATATACTTAATTATAAATTCAAAGTAAGTTTAAAAAATTATTTTATGACAACTCACTTTGTATACTAAAATTTAAACAATATAATTCTTATTATGATTAGCTGATTTTAGAGTCAAACCAAATCAGTGCATATATTGCTTAAATATCTGAATTTGATTGCTCAGATATCCAAAATTGTTATGCAAAATCTGTAGTGTACTAATCATATTGTGCTGCACTATAATAATAAGTCATTTGGTGTGAAACACCTCAATATCTTATCAAAAAAATGTGCTATTGATGAAATAACATGTCAGTATTATAGTTTCAAGGAAATAAATTCGCAAAATAACTTTCAGGGAATCGTGCTCGAACTGTGTAATATATTCTAAACTTAGTTCTATCTCAGTAATATTTTTACTCTTTATTAATACTAAAATATTTCGTATCATGCTTTAATCATCTGAAATGATCATTTTGATATAGTTACAGAATAAAAGAATAAGACCCAAAAGATAGATCAGAGCTGCGCCTAATAATATGAGGTGGCAATGACAGATAGAGTAATTACTGAGAATAAATACACCTATCATTGTGTTATTACACAAATTGTAAGTGATAATGAGAATAATAACGAGAATAGTAACAAAGACAGTGACGAGAATGATGACAAGAATGGTAACAAGAATGATGCCAAAAGTAATATCATAATATAAAGAAAAAGAGATATATCATGTTAAAATAGGAAACAAGAGTAATATAGGAAAACTTACATTAAGCCTTAAAAGTAAAAAATTGTTATAAAAGAACTATAAATATCTCCTTTGTAAAGGTAGCTCCTTCGGAGACTATCACAATAAAATAATAATTAAAAAGAACTCCTTAAATAAACTGTATATATAACCTTAAACTAAAAAAGTTCTAATTCAGTCCTTAATAAATATAATAAAATATTCATAAAAACATAGATTTGAGTAAACTAATAAACTTTAATACCAAATCACTAATATCACGTCTCTAGCAATAAGTATTAATTCAAACCTGATTCATCTGCTCATAACAATGTGCAGACGTAACCTTAATAAACTATTTCATCTATTATTCAATTTCACATTAATCTTGTAATTGTTATTTATTCATATTGTTGAATGAAGCTATAATAAAATATTCCCTATCTGTGTTATTAAACTATTTATTTATAGTCATGATTTCTGTCTTATAAAAACTTTAAACTTAGTTTGATTTTCTTCAATCAAACTCTCTATTTATTTTATTTTATTTAAGTTTGATTTATTTTTCTCTGTCTTACTTTCTTATTTCTTATTTATTTGGTTTATTATTTATTTTTTTATTTATTTTTTTTTTATCTATTCGTTTTTTTATCGTTTCATTATTTTTTTGTTTATTAGTATGATATTATATATTGATTTGAAAAAGTCTTTATTACATTTCACCTTTTGAATATTACTATTCATATAAATTAGTTGCTCTTGTATGTAATCATCTAATCTCATCTTTATCTCTAATCTAATATTACAATTAACCTGAATTCATCTAACGATCCTTTGTTTTTACTCTTTATTTTTGTCTCTTGTATCTCATTATTATATATTATTTTTTAAAAATTGTTGTATATATAAATTAAATATTTTTATGCACAATCACTCTTAATTCATCTAACAATCACTCATTTTTACTCATGATTGTTCATTTTTTAAATCTCATCACTCATATATGCATTACCTTCTGCTTGTATTACTTAGATTATCTCATTAATAAATTGACATATCCTAGATAGTAACACCATTAATACATATCAATCTGCTATGTTTTAAAAATATGCATATAATCTAGC